ATACCCCCAAACTTGAATCTTTGGTTGTCCCCAAGCAAAAAGGAAGAACTAAAAACAAAACAAGTAGCTAGAGATGCAATTCACCGAAGCATGAATTCCCCATTTTTTTTCACATAAATTATCGCATAATTTTAACTCAAGGTGAAACATAGATAATCATCAAATTCATGCTCAATTCAAGTGCAATTTCATTCTTGAATGGATTGCACAATATTTATGTGTGTGAATGATCTTTTTACAAAGAATATCATACAATCTAGATAAGACTATGCCAATGTAAAATTTATCTAAGTGCTAAAATTCCATAGGTTTTCTTTTCATCTCTGTCACCATTAATGTAGACTAACACTTATTCAAAATCAGTTGGTCTTTATTAAGCTCATAATGTAAGGCTAGGGTCTGGGTATGATAAAGGATATAATGTGACTCAATATCACCCTAAGCACATAATTATTGTAGGACCTATAGAGCTTTATTTTCCTTTACCAAGTACACCATTTTCATCAATTTTTTTCTTTTTGTTCAAAACTTCTTCTTTTTCTCTTTTTTCTTTTTGGTTATCACAATTCCACACCCTCAAACTTATTTTTTTTATTGTAGGTAGCGGGGTGAATTCTAACAATTTGTGAATTTTTTTTAGCAACTCCACCTTTTTATCTTTTTCAACATTTAGCTCAATCTATATTTCCTAAAATAATATACATGCTTAGGAGTAAGGGTTGAAAAATTGGAATATTGTTTTAAGGCTAAGCTTATTATCATGTGGTTAAACAAAGAAAGGGGAAATTAGGCTGAAAGAGGTATATTAGTGATAAAAGTTTAACAAGGTTAGCTTGAAAGGATCAAACTGTCCAAAGATGGCCTAAATCATATCCCATCCTAAGTGTTATCTAGAATTTCTCCTTGAGAGAGAATCAAATAAATTTTAGAATCCTTAACTTCACTATACTTTTTATCAACATAAACTTCCTCTAAATCACACGATAATTCTAAGTAAAAGATTTAATATATAAATTATTAGAAATTGCATTTTATAATGAAATTAACAAAAGAATATCACAATCACTCAATTCATATCTATATCAAACCATGAATCAAAATAGCAAGATAATCAAAATATCATCCTAGGATTGGTAATATCATGGAACAGGCAATTTTCATCTCAAGCATTCCTAAAATAAATCCTAAAAACAAAAAAAATGAAAATAAACTAACCTAAAAACATCACAAAAATTAATAACAATAAAACCCACCCTTAAATTTAAATTGCACATTATACTTAATGTGAAAAGCTTTAAAAAAAAATAAAGAATTAAACTCCCTTAATAATGGTGGTAGTGTCTTGAAAGCTCTAATTTTTCTTCTCCTCCTCTTCATGCTTTCCAAACTTGCATACACAACAAAACAAGCTAGGGAAAGGTTATAGCTATATATTTACATAGAAAAATAAAAACTAGCTAAAATAATAGCAAATCCAAAAAGATATAACTTGAGTTGCCTCCCAAGAAGCACTTCTTTATAATCACTGGGTTGACTTTAGTTAAGGTATTTAGTCATCCTTTAAAGAGATTTGAGTTTGCATGGAAAAAGCTTGAGGTGTGAAAGTAGTCTCCTCTTAAGATGAGGCTATAATGGCTTTAACTCAAGATTTGGTGCTTGCTCAACCCAATGTGGTGGAATAAGCTCAAGTGTTTTTTTTTCTTTTCTTCTACACATTTGAATGCTCCCGAATGGTCGTTTTTGTAGTTGGAGGCATTGGAGATGATTCAATGAAGAAACTAGCTATTTTCGTTTTGAATTCTGTGTCTAACAGATGATTTGGATCAAGTTTTGAGGTGTGCAGATCGATTTTTTAAAACTTCAGCTCCTTTGATTCTTTGAATTTATGCTTGTAGGATCAAGCTTTTAATAGCAATGTCAATCCTAGACCTGAGAGTTGAGTTGTTTCCTTTTTTTTTCTTCTTCAAAAATCAAGGTCGAAATTGATAATGCTGATTCTCCAAGCTTCCAAGGGCTTTTTTTTCACTTTTGTTTCCTTCTAGGATTGAGTTTGGCTTGTCCAATGTTGATCCTTCAAGTTTCCTTTGCATTTTCTTGGTTTCTTCCCTAAGATTGAGTTTCAAGCATTAGTGTTGACAGTAAACCCAAGGCTCACCTACGATCGAGCTTTAAGGTTAAAATGTCAATCCTAATGCAAAAGTTATGACACAACATTTCCGATTGCTCCTTTCATGATATCTCAACTTTGAATCAAGATTGGTGTTGTGAAGTTTGATCCTTCTTTAATATCTTAAGGTAAACTCCTCACTTCATGAACCTATCTTAGAAATCAAACACTTTAACATCTCCAAAGTAACATTAGAAAGGTCATACAACTTATTCAAGTAAGTTAAACACTCATACAACTAAACCAATTAAGCTTGTAAGCATTTCAAAAACAAGTGTATAAGAGTTCAATAACTTCAAGAAATATTAAAGAATGACTCAAATAAGTTCAAGCAATTTTTATCATTTTTGCCATTTCAAAACTATATTCATTTGAAAGCTAACAATATATTATATAATACATAATCGGGTTACGGTACCCAAAGGGTGTTACCTAATCTGATATGGGTAATAAAATTATTACCAAACTCGTCTCAAATTTGAATATAGAATATTTTTAATTCTATATAACTAGGTCAGATAATTACGGATATTTTGTTAAAAAGTATGCATTACCATCCCTACTTGCCGCTTCAGGAAATAAACCCGAATATAATATAGCCAGATTCTTGCTAAGACAATGGCCTATAGTGTTTACTTTAGTATGAGCGTGCACGTTCTAGTAGGAATTTGCATGCAGTTGCCGTGCATTTTCCCTTAAAATAAACGAGCTGAAGGTTTTCGCCCAAAAAAGTGACAAAGTCAACTTTTTCTTTTTTTAATATAATACTAGCTTATTTGTCGCCTTAAGATTGCAAAGGGCATTTTTCAAAGGACCACGGCCTTTTAGATGAAAAAATATTTTAGAGAAATAAAATAAAGTAAAATTTTAATTTTGATATATAGCATACGTTGCTTTTTTATTTTTATTATTATTATTATTATTATTATTTCAACAAACAAATAAATCAAGAATTGGTTTAGATATTCATTTAATAACAAGGCGTTCCAAAAGTAGAAATATCCAATCTAGTAGGGACTCTAAAGTCTGTAAATTAAACATTGTAAATGAAGTCAGCTTCTATTTAACTACCTAATTGGGAAATTATATCGAATATAGGATAATCTGAATAGCTCAAACAAGACACAAAATCTTTATTCTTCAATTAATTCTGTATTATCTGTACACGTGATCTATATATGAAGCATAAGTCTAGGGTCAACTTATTGGTTGATACAAAGCCTGGCCTGTTTCACACTTTCACTAGATTTCTTCCCCAAACGACAAAAGCTGATGCCCATTCCCGGCAAAGGGAAGCATAAGCATCTTGCTAGTTGCAACCAAGTTCAATTAATAATCTTAAGTTAACTTTCCCTCTTTTCAAAAAATTTGATTATATTTTTGCCATTTCAAATGTTAGTTACAATATCTCCATAAACAGTAACTGTCTTGTAATGTTTAAATGAAGAATTATTTGAGAAAAAAAATAGGGTAATTAAGAGTATGATCGATGTTCCTCTTTATTTTTATATTTAATTAGGCCTAAGAGCAAGTAAAACAAAGAATGAATTAAATAGAAGCTCAAATAATATTATGCCAATAAAACTTTTTTCCCACTTGTTAAAACGAATTTCATCAATTGAAAGCAGCATTTTATATCTTACTACTAATTAAGCTAACCAGTTGAAGCTAAGCAACCATCGCCCAACTTATAAGCTTAAAATGGAAAGATATATCCAAATTTACTACCGGTGAGATAGAATAGAAAAAGTTCAAATTGCTAAGTGAAAGCTCAAGAATAGATTTTAATCTCTAACATAACATATATAGTTCAAGGTAGAGGGTAACGTAACATGCGCATATTGCTAATATATTAATCTCTCTACCTAATTCTTTTTTGTTTTTGCACATAGACGAGTACATAAAACCCTGAAGGAAGAAATTATTTATATCTAGTTGGGTAAAGGGGAATTACTAGATTTAAAAGAGAGCCAGGAAAGCTTTAGGATTCTTCCGGATAAGTTTCGTTTTGTGATTTAATTGAACTCTCAAACCAACAGTGACTAGGTAACCTTCCTAGGACCTTTCGAAGTTAACAACGTTTTCTTCATTTCTTGAGAACTTATTTCTGACTACTACAAGGTTTCAGATTATATACTATACCTAGAATTTATTATGTATATACAATTAATTAATTATTTAGGAGCAATTATGTATTATAATAGTCTACTTGTGTTTTCCTAGGTGCATGGAGTCATCAGTACTTTATTTGTCTTATTTCGAACAATTAAACCGCGTTTGAACCTCTAGGGTGTTGTAAATTTTAATAATCAAAGTTTGTTTTCCATCCTAAACGTGATCTTAATCAGCAGCAGCAGCAGCATCATTGCTACAACTATATAAAGCAGCTATTCTTTCTGCCCACGACACAGAAACCTAGGACTAAAACGGAAAAAACAAAAAGGCCAAAACATGGCTAAGATTACTAGCTTCAAGTATACAATTTTTCTAAGTTGTTCCTCGATACTTAATCTGTTCTTTGTTAGCCTCTACCTCCACAGCCGGATGGAGCAAAGTTGGACTAAAAATGCTGCTGCAGAAGCTGAGGCTGTGGCAGGCATCTCATGCTCAGGTCATGGAAGAGCTTTCTTGGATGGATCAATAGTTGATGGAAAACATGTTTGTGAGTGCGATGCATGCTATGGAGGCTCTGACTGCTCTGAATTCTTACCTGGTTGTGTCGCTGACGCAGATAGGTAATTAACTACTCTTTCAATCGGAGATGAATATGAACTTTGTTAAGCTGTCAGTATTATGGGAATCTTGCCCCAATAATGTTATTAACATTGTTGTCAACGTATTCTTTGCAGTGGAGATCCTATGTTCTTAGAACCCTTTTGGCTGAAGCATGCAGCTAGTAGCGTCATTGTACTTCCTGGATGGCATCGCATGAGCTATGAATTCAATGACGGTTCTCTCATCTCGAAAGAGCTCGAGACTCAAATTAGAAAACTTCATGCAGTTATTGGAAATGCAGTCACTGATGGAAGGTTCATCATTTTTGGTGCTGGTGCTACCCAACTTCTTCATGCAGCGGTGCATGCCCTCTCCACTAATGATCCATCTTCACCTTCAAGAGTCGTAGCATCAACCCCATACTATCCGGTAAGCTTGGAAACCATAAATTTCGTAGCTTTTGATATACTATTTAATTGTCATTAATTATCAGGTGATTAAATTTTTTATTATACTACGTTACAGGTTTACAGGGAACAAACTGAGTTTTTCAACTCTGAGGATTATAAGTTCAAAGGAGATACTTCATTGTACAATAATGAAAGAGATTCTCAAGGGAACTTTATCGAGCTTGTGACTTCCCCAAACAATCCTGACGGCCAATTAAAGAAGGCAGTTCTTCAAGGCCCATCTGTGAGGACAATTCATGATCTTGCCTATTATTGGCCACATTATACACCTATCCCAGCTCCAGCAGATGAAGATCTAATGATATTCACTCTCTCCAAGCTTACTGGACATGGCGGAAGCAGATTTGGGTAAGAATCTTTTCTATTATTCTGATGATTATAGAGATGGAAATACTCAATTACTTCCAAAGCCTTTTGGGGGTGCAATAAGTTACTCAATCGTGCTAACGGGGTTTGCTTATGCAGATGGGCAATAATAAAAGATGAAACCGTCTATCAAAGGATGTTAATATATATCAGTCTAAGCACCTATGGGGTTCCTCGAGAGACTCAACTAAGAGTTTTGAAGCTGCTAAAAGTAGCCCTAGAAAGAGAAGGAAAGGAAATGTTTGACTTCGGATACAAAACAATGAGGAACCGCTGGAGAAAGTTGAGCGAAACTATGTCAATGTCCAAACGATTTTCAATCCAGGAACTTGAGCCTAAACGCTGCTCTTTCCACAAAAAAGTCAGGGGACCTTCTCCAGGTAATCTTTTACCCTTTTCCCATCATATAGAATAAAAAGGAAACATTCTTGTGCTGGGTGAAAATTAATTAATTTCTGAACTTCTAAACCTAATGAGTAGTTTGTTCTCATGGCAGCTTTTGCATGGCTGAAGTGTGAAAGAGAAGAAGATAATGATTGCAACGTCGTGCTCAACTCTGTCAATGTCACCGGACGTGATGGTAGTTTGTTCGGCGCTGAAAGCAGATTTGTTCGGCTCAGCCTGGTGAAGTGTGAAGATGACTTCGATTTGCTGCTTAAAAGGATGCAAATGTTAGTATCTGAAGAAAATGATAGTACCAAAATTATGCCACAGAATAAAACCACCGTAAATCTGTCATCACCACGGTCGAATGCTATCTATAACTGGGATCATGTTACTAGCAAATATCACCTTGAAGAACTCACGACACATATTCAAGACCAAGCTACCATGCCAGCCTATTGACAGTAGCAGCAGGCATATACATATAGCAAACCAGGAAATTTGGATTAGGTTGTAAATCTATAAATTGGCGGGGGGAATGGATATCTAAGTCCCAATTTAGGAAGATATCATTCACTAACTTGTGGTTGTTTCTTTTGTACGATTAGGCAAGGGCAATGTTAGAGCATTTTCAAAAACAGGGTCAAATAGAAAGAGACACAAAACAATCAACAAGAACTTTATATATCATCCAATTCCCAATCATCTAAAAGATTAAATAAAATTTACAAGACATTGAACCATATAGTCTTAAGTTACATCATGTTTTGATTGGATAAAATCACAAGTTATCTTAAATTTAATGTCAAGCATTTGAAATTATCTTAAATATATTTCTAATTCCCTAATATTACTGTTAATATAGAAGTCTCAAAGTGGATTATACTAAGAAAGGTGAATTGTTATTTATAAAAATTTCTTTGAAAATTAGGCATTAAGATCAAAACTTTTCATCCAAAAGTATTTCCTAGCATCGAAAAATTCTCCAACAATAAATCACTAAGCACAAAAACAATATACTAAGATAACATATTTTTCCTAAGTTAAATGCTAGTTATGATAAGTAAAGAAAAAAATATTTTTCTAAGTGTAAAACAATAAATCAATATAAAACTAAGTTCCTAACGCAAATATAAGCAATAAATAGTAATGCGAAAAAATTAGAGATACATAGAATTTATAATGGTTCAGCTTTTTCGATGCTTACATCCACTCCCCTGGTAATTAATGAATTTCAATCCACTATCAAAAATTCTTTCTTTTTAACGAGACAAAGTAAAAACCCTCACATAATATACAAGGGATCCTTACTTTTTAACAAGATAAAACGATAACCTTTGCAATAGCTTTTACACGAGATTAAGCAATAACCTTTACACAATCCACAAAGGTGTTGACTCCATGTATTTTTTATGATAACAAAACATTCTCATTCATTAATGTCTAATTACTTTATTTAAGTGTGCAGGATAAAATTTAGAACCCTTAATATATTTGTTGTTCGGAAGCAAGTCAAGAAGCTTGCTTAATTACCAAACAAGTTAATCAATAAAAAAAGCAAAGAAAAAGCAAACCAAATGAAGACAGAACAGTGTTAACTCCTTAATATGGAGCTTTAATCAGTTAAGGCGTAGTTGAACGCTATACAAAAGTAAGACAGGAAAGTCTTAATCAGTTAGTAAAAGACTTAACTGATTACAAGGGTGTTATAAGTGAAACACAGAAGGTCACTAATCGGTTAAGTAAATAAGCTAATTGGTTAAGCTCAAACTCGAAGCACTTAGAAACGTCAAAACTCAAAATCAAAGTGATGTTGACCATCTAAAAATGCCAAACAAAGAGATTTAAAGTTGAAGAATTCTTAAGTGGTTGGAGCCCATTTTAATCAGTTAAAGATGAAAGGAGAGAGGCCTTAATCAATTAGTAAGATCTCTAATCAATTGAAGAATGATAGATGAAAAATAAAGTTTAAAGGTAGTTGAAAACATAAAGTTATTAATCAGTTAAAACCATCATTAATTAGTTAACACAGAGAAACAATTTGCAAGTAAGAGAAGGCTTAATTGGTTAAAGCCTGTCTTTAACCGATTAATGAAGCACTGTTTACACATTTGAATTTAAGCACAAAAAGACAAAACAACTGGAAAAAATTGTTTGTAACAGCTAATTTTTTTCTCTAACTATTAGAAATGACTTTTCAAGTATTTAAAGCTTCTCCAATAATTAAAAATCATAGAGAGAAGTTCCAAAAAGTTTGAAAGAGCTTATAGGAACAAAAGCCTTCTCTTTTACACTTATATTTTACTATTGTCTTTGTAAAAGTGTTTGAATTGAAGCTTGTACAACTTATATCAGTTAGCTGATCATTTGTACCACATTTTATCTTCAATTCTTGTTTACTTAAAGTATGCGAGACATTTTAAGGGGTAGTCTAAGCTAAGGTAAACTTAGGACTTATTGTAAATGGGTTAGAGCTTAGGTTAGAAGCTCGCCTTATAAAAATTTGTTGGAAGCTATTAATTTCACTAGTTTAGTGAAGTTGGGATAAAAATCCTTGATTGGAAAAATCAAGGTAATGGATGTACGTCAAGAGAACCAAACCACTATAAATACTGTGTTTTATCCACTTCTTTTAACCCTTTTCTACTTAGTGTTCACTAAACTTCAAAAGTTGTCAACCATCCATCCTAAATCTTCCAAACAGTTTTCAAATTTTTGGATGTACCTTCAAAATAGTTTTAAAGTGCTATTTACCCCCTCTAGCACTCATTTTGGGACCAACAAAAGGGATTCTTGCTTTTCAACGAGATCAAGCAATAACCCACAAACAATGGTTTTTAAAGGCTGAACCATAAACTTTCATAAATAGCTTTTCAAGGTTAAGCTAGAACCTTTACAAAATGTGTGTACAAAGAAGTAATAGTAAAGATTTTCCTCACAAAAGCTAGCTGCTAGAGATTTTTGCTTGGGTGTTTTGAGAGTAGTAAAAATCGGCTTAAATAAAGCAAGTATTCAACTTTGTAAGCTCGGTAAAAAACTAGTGATATGTGTGTAACTTTATGTGCTAGTATGTTCACATATTCATTCAACTAAATAATCAAGTAATCATGCAATTATCTAAAAGCAAACAAATTGAGTATACAACCAAGCTTGAAATAATTCACAAATTTATATATGGTAAAAAATATAGCAATCATCATTCAAGTACGAATGTAATGCATTTATTAATTAAGAGATATTACCAACAGAGATGAACACAACTTGTTGAGACTTTACAAAAGTTATTGCTGAAGATTTCAAATGCTCAAGAATCATAGGACAATGTTAATGACTATCTCCCCCTTAAGCATTCACTAAATCAATTCCTACAAGGAGAAAGGATTAAATGGTTAATCACATTAAAGCATAATCTTATCTTCCCTTAGATGGATCATGAGACAAATATGGATAAATCATAAGCATTACAACAGATATTCAATATGTCAATTTCATACTCGAATATTCAAAGACCCAGTAAGACATGAATATTTAAATAAATATTCAATATATACTTTAAATACTCATAATTTTAAGAAGTTATGCACATTCTCTCTTATGCATGTCTAAGATATCATTTTGCATTAAGCACTATTTTCAAATTTTATCATGCATTGTCCAAGCACTATCAATCAAACACTTTAAAGAAATTTTCTAAAATATATTAGAATAACAATTTAAGAGAAAATTTCCTCAACAATAGTATGTCATCATTTAGCCTTTTTTGGTAATCTCTTTCAATAATATTTTTTCAAGCATTTCAATAAGATTTCTCCTAATTGTGCATAAGACTATCAATTCAAGAAGAAGTTTTCTCATTAAGACAATATCATTAACAATGAAGAATAGCCAAAGCATTTAGCACATATTGCAATTACATAAAGAATGTTATTGATAAAGGAGTATATTACCAGATTATTATTATTTAGAAATTATAAGTATAATAGAATTCTTCTTTTGCTTGCATTAGGAATTTAAGCTAGTCATGTTCTATTTAGGAATAGAACACCTATTGTATTTAAATCTCTTGTTAATTATTCAAATTGTATTAGACAACTAGAAGTAGACAACTTAAGCTTAGTTGTGGGACATTCAATTTGAGAGATAATAAATAATATTTTCTTAAGTAGGAGTGTTTATTTCTCTAGGCTCTTTTCAAGAGTAAGAGGCTTTAATATCTTTAGCCGAGCCAACCAAATTGGGATTTTGGCTATTCGTCACCTTAGTGGGATTTTCTAGCCTTGCCAAGATTGGTGATTCACCTTAGTGGGGTTTCTAACCTCACCACGATTAGTGTCTTTCACAATGCCTAGGTGTCTTTTACAACGTCTCGGTGTCAGTTCGGTATCAGAGCGAGAAGATCATTGTTCGTTATGTAATTCAAGTTTGTTGTTGAGTTTCAATATTCCTCGTTTGGGTAATTTTTTTATTGCTTTATAGTTATATCATTATCTTTTTTGTTACATCACCATATCATCATCACCATACAATAAAATTCCACCAAGATATCAACATCGTCAAAGAGATGATTATGAGATCGAGGTTCAAGAATTACGTCGCCAAGTTCAAAAATTACAAGAGTAACTTGCAAGATGTGATGCTGCTCAATTCAACTACAGTAGCTCAAGTGATGAAGAAGATTATCTAGATTGTGAAAAATTAGAACCAATTTATGATGAATATGTGAATGAAATAAAAGAAGAGCTAGAAATATTCAACAACGAAGAGATAGAAGAAGTTTTTGTTGACCATGAAAAAGCCCTTATTGTTCGTCGTAACCTTAACATTACTATGATGACTGAAGATGAAAGTTGGCTTCGTCATAACATATTCCATACAAGATGCACATCCCAAAGGAAGGTTTGTAATGTTATTGTTGATAGTGGAAATTGTAAGAATGTTGTTGCCAATTGCATGGTGAAAAAGTTGAAACTTTCAACTACAATACATCCTTATCTTTACAAGTTACAATGGCTGAAAAAAGGAAATGAAGTTAAGGAAATGAAGTGCTGTTATGTTCAATTCTCTATTGGAAATAAGTATAAAGATGAAGTCTAGTGTGATGTTATCCTAATGGATGTATGCCACTTGTTGTTAGAATGCCCATGGCAATATGATCGTCCAGCTCACCATGATGGATACAAGAACACTTATTCCTTCATCAAGGATGGAGTAAAAATTATGTTAACTCCATTAAAGGTAGAAGACTACCCAAAGAAACAAGAAAAAGATAAAGCACTCATCACTATGTCTAGTTTAAACAAAGCTTATCTTGAGTCAAGCTTTTTATACCTCTTGTTAGTATGTGAGGAGAATGAAGTATCTTCACCCTTATCCAAAGATGTCAATCCCATAATTGAAGAGTTTTGTGATGTTGTACCAAATGAGATACCCCATGGACTGCCATCAATGTGAAATATTCAACA